AGGCACGTTCTTCCGTCCTCGCCCAGTAAGGCGCCCCGCGCCTACTGGTTCTCGACGTTTTTTGGCTGCCCGGCGAGGGAGACGGAGACGTCAAACTCGGTGACAGCGAGTACTAATGCAGGTGCGCGGAAAACTGCTGCGCGGTGACCAGGCTTACGACATCGGAAGAAGATTTAATTCTTTGCTGCCGCAGGCTTCCAAGGATTATGACTGGAAGCGCGTCTATGACCTGTGGCGTACTCGATCGCATCTATCCCATTGGCTCATGCTCCTGAGCGGCGCGTAGGGGCAGCAAGTAATCCACTTGCGAAGCCAAGACACTGAAGTCTTCACTAAGGGCAATGCTGACAGCCTCTTTTAGAAAAGCGGGAGAATTTGCGTTAAATAAAAAAGCTGATGCCCAGCATTTATTCTGGTGACGAACACATGGACTTGTGTCACCGTGTCGATAGGGTCGGCGACTATGCACGATGCCAGGTTACGTGCGCGCTGGATGTAGTCCATTGACAGACAAACCTGCTTCCACGCAAAGAATGCGGATGAATGTTGTTGCTCGTCTTGCGGAGTCTCACACGCCAAGCACAAGTCATCCTTCAAGGTCTTCATTTTCGAGAAATCTTTCGGATTGGCAACAAGCTTTCCCAATGCCCACTCATTAGTCTTACCAGTCAGCTTGGATGCGTACGAGTGAACTACATCGTTAGCTGGAGGGCTTGGAAATCGATGTACACTTCACAAAGGCAGAAAATTAGCACGAGGCACTTTGGGCCCTCGCCGCTGTAAATCGAAACGTTGAGTTAATGACATTAAACCCCGTGAAAACTTCGAAAGCTGACGCTTGCCGACGCAATTTGGCGAGCTCGCGGTTGACGAAGTCTTGAAGGGCAGCACGCTGGATCCGCTGAGGAGTATTTTTGAGCACGGCAACAATGGTAGTAAGGTCAGTTAAGCCTGTAGGCGACGCAGAGCTTTCCACTTAAAGAGGTCAGGTGCTCAAATTCATCGTGTGACAATACCCCCTCCCCTCTAGCGTCGGTATCGGCGAAGCGCTCATATTCGATGGAAGGACTACGAAGTGCTACCAGATGTAAAGGTGCTAGAGCTCCGTTACTTACACACACTATAGGTCTTACGAGGAAGCGTTAGGGAGCTCACAAAAGCTAGCGCGCTTAAGGTTTATTTTAACTTTAATTTTTATATATTTGTTTTTATACTAAGTCGAGTGGTCTCTAAACGCATTGGAATTACTCAACTACAGGCTGATAATGAGACTGATTCTCACTTACCTGCGAATAGAGATACGAATGGCTACACCCTATGGTGTAACATATAACTACTTATGTGATATTGATGTAACTATGGCTAGTTGTGTAACGGTAAACCTCCTCACAGACGTGAAGCCCACCTAATCCACGCCGCAAGGCTCTTAAACTTATTCGCCAGCACGCCAATTACTATAGATGTATATTCGCAGCTAGCGAAATACTACTTCTTACCGCATTCTGAATTCCTTAGCGGAAGGATATTAGGGATACGAATGATTATTCAAATTAGATAATCCACTACACGCACTAAGTGCCTTCTTTGTATCTTTAAGAACTGCCTAATCTACAAGCGAGGATATGCTCAGCTCTGGGGTAGGTCGAATGACTACCATATCGGATAACTCGCTAGCCTTCCATACTTGATAGGATATATCCACAGAAATTTTGTCTAGATCTAACAGATAATTTAAAGAGGAAGGGTCGAATGAATTACCTCGCCATCAACAATACCTGTCACTCCATTTATAAGGGTATACAGCTGATCGCTAGTATCACCACATGATAGAACATACGCCTTACATCTCGTAGCAACCATTTCGCGACGCTGCCGTCTTAACGTAGAGACCGACCGTGCTTGTTGAAGTACTTGAGATAATACCATCTTTAATGTTGATAGGTGCCTCTACGTTGTTTTGCTCTATACGAGAGCTGATGTCATCACAGACATCCAATGAGTTGCTTTCAGGGCCAACATCATTAACAAGATCTTCGACATTATCTTGCTCTATGCGAAAGCCGATGCTTTTAATATCGAAATATAATGGGTCGCTATCACAAGCAACATCACTTGATGGATTTATAAGTGCCACTCCACGCTCATTGATCGTGTTCAAGCTTTAATGTCTCTGCTCTAGGTTAACAATGCTTTCACCGTTCAGTGATTCGTAATAACTACTAGTATCACCCAACGGAGTACGCGCCGTCTCACTATGTGTCAATGAGCATTGCTAGACACTACTATTGTGTATATGGGTGTCTAGTGACTCAGACACACCAATATTCAGCACACTTCCTGGCTCAATCATCAGTAGCGCTTTTGTTTCTTAGCAAAGGTGGGTTCATGACTCTCCATAGCTCCGATAGAAACATTGCGCGTAGCGCCTAAGGTCTTATATCGCCAATTGATCCATGGCTCATGGCGTTCCAGCCAAGCCATACCGAGAATAAAATCAAATTTCGAGTCCTAATGTAGGACAAGACATCTTTCACGCTATCGAAGTCCATAAATTTTACTCCTAAGTTCAACGGAACTTTGGAAACGGTGACATGTGCACCAGTCGCGAGACGGGCCGTTATAAAACCACCCTCTTGCGCTTTTAGCGCCTCAGCATATGGCTGACTATCTTCAAAAGAAAGGCGTCGGACATAATTACCCGACGCCTTTGAGTCAATAAAAATTGAACATGGTTTATCAAAGACCTTAACTGTTGCCGACACGACCAACACCTGCCTGACTTGATTTATGGTCCATGATAGATTCCACGAAGTCTGGGGATAAGCCCTGTTCACCTCTACCTCCTATAGGTTCTACACAGCTTAAATCATTCCCAGTGGGGCGCCTTGCACATACTATGAGCTAACGTTTCTCCGACATGCCTGATTTACGGATTGAGGCAGGGGTCTGGTCCGAACGATGCTAGCGTTGCTTCCGTAACGAACAACTAGGGAGAAGACTCCTGGTTCTTTCGCAAATATAAAATTTACGGATGTTGCGCTGCTGCTCAGCAGTTTGAGGCTCAGCTTCGTCTTCGGCACGACTGAGGTATATAGGCTCAGCCTTATCAAATCAGCTCGAGTTATGCCACTAAGTGCTATAACGATCCGCTTTGGCTATGTCCACTGCCTCGTCGAAGGCCGAAGGGTGGACACGAAAAACTTCCGTCTTGGCGACCTCAGTGCGGAGGCCTTCCATTAAAACTGTCATGAGGACATGTACGAGCTTGATGCTTGCTGTTGCACTTGTGCAAAGATGCTCGAAGCAAAAGTAAGATATATTTAGCATACACTACTATCGTTTGTCAACACTACAACATGCACTGCAACTTGACCATGTAAGTGTCAGATGGCATCCGTCTTACCTACCCATATCGTACGGTGGTCCCGCATTGCAACCGTATGCCCTTGTCCTAACTGTCAAGTTGTCACCTCGTCGTTCCAACTGTTCAGATGTCACAACCGATTAAACAGGTGACGCTGTTCCATGGTATCGCACTTGAACCTTATAAACCTGATAACCTGTCAAATACGATCCAAAATATAACAGTATCTTCTCTGGTAGAGTGTCCAGCTGCATAGCCACAAGTAGAGTTCGCAATTCTTGGGCAAAGTCCGATAGCTCCTTCTTTCACTATCGGGAAGCTAAGAAGCATGAGTCCACACGATATGCCTCGTAAGGCGGTTCAATTACACGAGACATTTGTCTCTTAAGCAAATTCCATCGGAGAACGCGGCATCTACAGACCAATCGCATGTCAGTGCCCATTCTTTGGCTCTGCCACCGAGTTGACATAGACTAGCCAGCTCGTTGTAACTCATACCTGAGCAAAGCCTTAATACAAACGGACGGGCTCTTGGCTCTTCTTCGGACACCGGGATGTAGCGCGTTGGCATACCTGACGCTACATGGTCATGGACCTATCCAGTCAGCGTTGTTACAAAACGCATAAATGCCTCAATGACAAAAAAGGTAGCTTAAGCGAAGGATTGAGTGACGAGGTTACTTTCGTCGTGACGCAGGTAGGTGCTTGTTTAAAGTTCGTTGCGAGTTACGCTCTAAGCGGCCGGCAACAATTGGTACTACGCTTTAAGCGCCGACCAACACCACCACCGCACGCGGAGGTAATACGGTCTAATCGCTTCCTCACGCTGCTTCAAGGTGTGAGCCCGCGTAGTACATGGCAGCTTCTTTTCGAAGCGCCCGTTTACATTTGTTGATTTGATAATAATAATTCATAATCATTATTCAGCGCCTGCTTATACTTTGACTGTCTATGTCACATCCTGTCGCTGCTTGAATTGAATTGATGGCTCTGCTGCAGCTTTTGCGAAATGTACCTTAGCACGGCTCGATGAGCATTTAGCAGACCTCGATGATCATTTTGCTCTTAAAGCCTCGGATCACAGTGTCGAGATGCCGTCGCAGGATGCAGGTCATTTCAGCAGCAACATTTTAGCATGTCCTGCAGGTAAGTCTGCAGCTCACGAAAGTCCGAGCAACGTTTACGAATCGGCGGTGTCTAAATTTCGGTGTGTCGGTCGGTCTATGATTAACGATCATACGCTTCTCAATCAAGAAACCGTAGTCCATCGCTGCAGAAGAAGAGGGTGCATCCTCAAAACCTCGTCGATTTAGAAGCTGATAACGAACGACTCGATCGTTGTGACAAGTCGTAGCAATAACTACGACTCGGTTTGTTGTCATCGCATGACATCCATTGACCAAATCGACACTAAAGCAGTCTCTTTAGCTCAATAGCAAAAGCATCAGCCTCACAAAAGGAGCTTTCAAGTGCTCAGTTTCTTTGTCACCAAAAATTGGCGATGAAGTAAAATCTCCTTCTGTAATAGTACTCGCATCTACTATGTACAAGGTCAGTAATATATTTATTATACTACTACTTTTGTTTAGTATTTTTACAATCATATAATTAAATTTAAAGTAAAAAAATGTCAACAATGATTCGAAGTGTCTCGGCGCCACTGCGTCGCAGTCGCTACAGCTCCGTGCTGGAAAGCGCATTAGTCGGTCTTGGTCGAGAAGATGCTGTAGTGCAATCTACACGTAAACCGCGCAAGAAATGGCGCTTGGACACGTCCAAGAGCCCGATCCGAGGACTTTGTAACGTTGCTAGCGCACCCGAACGGCATTTAAATGGCGACGTTAAGAAGAAAAGGGACGAGAAAGAAGAAGAAGAAGAAGATCCTTTTGAGTATTTGAGATTATTGAAATCACATCAAAAGAAAAAGAAGAAAAGGAAGAAACGAGGGGAAGTAGAAGAAGAGAAGAAGAATATGACGTCTTCTCCTGCTGTTACGAGAAGTGCAGCGAAACAAAAGAAAAAGCACTATAAAAGACGTTGTTCAGGTGTCTTGGAGATGGTGACAAGGACACCTGTGACTCGATCAATGGTAAAAGAGAAGAAGAAATGGAAACGCTGCAGTCTCGAGAGGATTCAAGATGTTGAGATTGAAGAAGATGATGACGTGGTGATTCAGAAAAAGCTCTTTCAATCACCACAAGAAATGAAAAAGATAATGGAAAGAGGAGAAAACAGAAGAGAACGAGTGAGTAGGAAGGCGGTAGTGCTGGAGCACTGGTGTGTCGAGTGGCCGCCAGTGCTGGAGAGAAAACACAAAAGTGACGTAGAGAAGGCACTGCTTGTATTAACAGGACAAGTGGATGGTAATATGAAGCGATTTGTTGTTGGAAAACGAGAGGGTGCGACGAAGTTCACGTCCAAGGACGGCGAATATGTGACGTTGTCGGGCAAGTTGGATCGAAATGCCGCTAAATGTGCGGGTATCCCACGCACGGCAGTGGAATTAATGGACGTGGGTATTCCAGCGTACTTCAATAAACATTTGCTTCCTTATGCGCAGAAGTCGCGTGATAATGTCAAACACGGCAAGACGGGATCAAAGTCAAGATTAGGGAAGAAGAAGACAACTGGTGCCGACAAGTACGGGTACGAAAAATGGCAATGCGTGATTCACTTTAGTGAGCGTCCTGACCTGACCAATGTTAATGCGCGTGCAAACTTGCTTTGGTATAGTTCACCGCCTTTGATAGAAGAAGGAGTCAATAATGGGACCGAAGCCATTATCGCCTTAGCGTCAACTCAACATGTCGAGGCGTATAGTACGCCGAAGCCCAAGAAGGTGCGTACCTAGAGTGCTTTTCTGGACATTACCTTGTTATTGGGTTAGGCTCATACTCTTGTCATTGGCTTGATGTATCAGACCCGTGTCCTACCAATTGCTAAGGAGAAAAGAATGAGTACGAAGAAGGAAGAGCCTGAGCCTGAAGCAGAGGGTGAAGTTTGGACGACTGAGCAGCAAGAAGCTTTGATAGATGCCAAGCTCCAGATCCCAACAACTGCTCCGAACTTCTGGGTGCAGGTACGATCAAATAATATGAAAAGAAAGCTGAGTCGAGGGTAAGCTTACCAATGCTATGCGCTTCGCGGTTGTGATAGGTGGCACAGTATGTGCCAGGAAAGTCAGCAAAAGACTGTCAAGCCAAAACATTTGAACATTTTAGATCCCCGCTAAGTAATCGAAAGTCAGCAAAGAGGCCAACCAAAAAACGAGCAAGCACCGAGCCACACTCAGCCGTGCCTACCAAGATCGCCCGCGCTGGCTCAAACAAATTCAAAAAGCAAGTGCGCGACTTTGTAGAAGAGGTGCGCGAAGAAACTAATCGTGAGATTGTGGACGACTTGCTGACCGTTTGTGTTTTGGTACTAGCAGTACGAAAAAAAGCACGTGGATGACCTCTTCGAAACGACCCCGTCGAAGGAAGGCTTACCGGAGTTACCAGTGTTTGATTTCATTAAGTCACCTGAGCTGGGGGGGACACCGTCCCGTAGCTTCGACGATAACGACTCTGAAATGGACGACGAAACACCTGGACTGCTTAAGAAATTGAGCTCGCGCAGACGGGACGACATCGACTCGTACGTTCTGGGCATTAATCGTCAGCACGTCGCAGGTGGTGGTGTGATGGCTGGTGGTAAGGTGCGACGCCTGACATCGTTGGCAACACCCGTGAAAGCAGTGAAAACAAAGGCAATGTCTGCCAAGGTACGTCAAAAAAGTCTGTAAGCTGTTAGTTAATGCCTACTTGCTGCGGTTTTTCTGATGGTGTTTGCATTTTCGCACAGAAGAAGGCGGTAATGCTTGTGGAGGAGGTCGGATTACATTCCTTGAAGGGCGTCGTGAGTCCAGGAGGAACAACATACGTTCGCATACAAAAGGATGGCAGTTCGTCAGAGGGTGAAGAAGCAGAAGACAGCAGTGAAGAAGAGGAAGATTTTGATCTGTCTTGACCACGACATGCCACGAAGTTCCGAGCCGTAGACTGCACCAGAGGTGCTTTATTTATTGACTGTACGTGAAGTTTTTTGTTACTCATGTAGAAGCAGCGGTTGCAAGTGTCGATATGTGATAAATAATGAATATGGACTGATGTGACGGTCAGGAAAACTTGTTGTTGTATAGCCGCTCTATTCCTTGACGAGCATCAGCAACCGGCGAAGATTTTCAATACTGTCTTTTGTAAAAGTTTGCTGCAAAGCTACGGCGAGCAAAATGCATTGAAAGGATGAGTGTATGACCTTTACAATATGTTTGACAGATACGCACCAGCATTTTGAGAGCCCAGAACTTGCTGCAAATTCCGTAATGACGTTGGCCTCGATAGCAATAACGCACGCGCTTTCTGGTTGTCATACACGAGTGACCATAGCGCTGCTGAAAGGTAATCCAGACTAATCAAGTCGACGTGAGGTGTAGAACTTACACGTACGCAAAGAGCGATCATATCATCCAGCAGCGCTTCCCACATAGCAAAGTGGTTCTTGGCCGCTCGTGAAAGAGCGAGATTCCTCAATACCAAACATCCATTACGCCGAATCGCCTCATCAGACGAATGCATTACATCGTCGAGCACGAGGGAGAGCACATTAGCCCAATTAGTGTAGAGCAGGCGAGCTCCTTCCTTGTTGGAAGCAACGTTGCTGAGCACACCAAGCAGGTGAGCAAGGTTTCCAGTCTCGAGGTGATTCGTTTTGCTCGTTTGTCTGTGTTGCTTGAGTCGATCTTGAAGCGAGTTAATCAGTCTAGATATTGACCCTGTCTTGAGGGATGCTAACACGCATTCAGTGTTGAGTAGAGCAGCCTTTGCCACTTGGCATGCAGCGTTGCTAACAGCCATATCAGCTGCGGACGCGGCAATAGCACCACGTGCAACTTGCCCATGAGAAGATGTCATCTCGCCCCGGGAGATCGCCAAGTCAAGCACTCGTGACAACAGCGTTTGAGATCTTTCGCTCCCTGCGTTTTTTGCAGAACCGGACTGCAGCGATATCAGCATTGATCCTCGGGCAGTGTCGTTTTCAAAGGTGTAGTTTGCCAAAAGATGGAGAGCACGTAACATCAACTGAGACCCACGGACGCGAGCCATATTCATTACACTCCAATTTGACAAAAGCACGCTGAGAAGTCCTTCACCCTAAGTATAGCATCAAGCATCAGTCTTAGGCCCATGTCTGCACACCGCATAGTTGTAGTCTGAAACCACTTACCTTTACCAGTTGCTGGCTTTCTCTATTACTACCGACGATTGCGCTCATAACCTCGATATGTGTCTGAATGCGCCCGCATAGATCGAGCACGTATGCGCATTGTGTGTTTGAGCTGGTGTTGAAACTTCCATCTCGCTTGCCACCAAATCCTCCAGCAATCCGAATCGCAGAAAAAGATTCTTTAATAGAAGCCATTGCGAAAGGTAGGGCACGCTTTACCCAGACAAGCGGCTGGAGATTTATGCTCGACTCGAGCAGAACTCGAAGTGCACATGACACGCGTCGGATACATGCTAACGGAAATGTACGGTCCTGAAGTTCTGGCACTGTAGCAACAATGGTGTTCGCATCCAAATGCATGAACTCTGCAACTTCCCGGTAAAGATCAAACGTAACGGATGCAAGCGCGTTGGCGATTGAAGGATTTAACGACTTCAGCAATCCGGGTATCAGTAAAGATATCTAATGACAATCATCGAAGCAGAAGACCTTTCTTGTGAGCATATACCGCGCCAAGAAAAAACGTTTGGAGTACTTACAGATGGCACAATCCGAGAAAATGATACCCGGAAATCAATCGGGTGGTGAGGGCCTAGTAATTTTGCGACCACGCCCACAAAGTCCCCCTCAAAACCCGGAGTTGTTGATGCTCCAAGCTGCTTTGAAACGTACTTGCTGTGTTGGTCAAAAGCTTGCACCACAAGAATGCTGAGAGTACCCGCACAAAGGTCAAGAACCCCATAATGCCTCCGCTTTGTAGCCACTGTCAACGTGTTGTCAAAAGAAGCATGGATATCCTGTACCAGCACCATCAGCTGAAACTGCAGAGTCGTATGCTGCAGCGACACAACACGCAGAAGTCAAAACCTAGTCGCAAACGATTTGCTAAACAGAGCAGGGTCCATGTGTACCATGAGGAAAAAGGCCGCTTGATCAAAGCCAGCATCACGGCAGATAGCCTGGAAGAGATTCAGCACTTCGGACATCAGATCTAGAATGGCTGGAAGCAATGAGCGTCTCCATGTACTACGATCACAACTAGGCAAAAGCATATAGCTCGAACAGTAGCGATCGCAGTTGTTTTTCCATTCACGGAGTGACAGCGCCTAAGCAACAAAGCAAATCATTATGCCAACGAAGAAAATAGCACAAGGTTCTGTATATTGAGTTCTTACCTGCACGAAAAGTCGGTACACCTCGAATTCTTGTCCAGCCGCATCCAACTCTTTCTGCATATCCCCCAAAATTGGCGCCACACGATCACGTTGTACGTATAACACTCGAACCAGCCGTGCAAATGCGCTTGAAGCGCGAGCGTACAGTTTGTTACCTTTCAACGCGTGCAAAAGTAAGCGCAACATCTTTCCCGAAAACGCGGTCCCATGGAAAATCTCAAGCATCACTGCTTGTTCATCAGAAGAACGCTCGTGATATTGAAGAATCTCCTTCGTCAAAGCAGTGCATGCTGCTGCACGGACAGCATCCGACTCAGTGTCGTCAGCGCAAGTTTCGAAAACCATTTGCAACAATCGAGTTGGAGGAGGTTTCGAGGATGAGGCATGCTCGATAATGAGAAAACCAAGCTCTCGAATTGACGACACGTGGTCGAAGAGAAAACGAGACGCCCAACTACCATCGAGAAGGTTGCTGCTATCAGTGTGCTCCAGAGAACAATCACTAGCCAGATAGGAATCGGGCGGAAGCAGACGCAAAATAGTTATCATGCACTGTGATCCGACAGCAAATACATCACGTTCCAAAAAGGAACCAGGAACACGGTGGCGACACACAACTGTGAGCAGTGGCGAAAGCATCTCCAGCAAACGCTTGCAAATTTTATCGCGCGAAGGTGCTGACAAGTAACTGTCTACATCCTCGTCCATGGCTTTGGCGAATCGCAACAGCACCTCAAGCATCAGACCGTGCAGTACAGACTCTGTCGCGTAGATTGCCGAGTACTTTGTGCAGATTGTCGCGATAATATCGGTATCAGCAGCCAGTGACAAGAACAAATCACGAACCTTGGATTCACTCACATTGAGCAACAACCGGGCAACCTGTAGAGATAACGTCTTGCTTTGAGATTTTTTCAAGAGTGGAAGAACCTTGCGCTTCACTACAACGAGGGCTCGCAGCTGCTCTCTTCGAGTCATGACAAAGAACATCACGCTAAGAGTGACTACAAGCGAGCCAATAATCGTCTCGTCTCGTTCACTTTTTGGTGGTACCGCGAAATACCGCTCGAAATCTGCTTCCCATTCGCCGACAAAGTGTTCGCGTCCAAAATGCCAAGCTTCGCACATCGTCATCAGATGGTACAGTGCGTTCAGACACTTTCCGTGCGACGGCGCATCTCGAAGTTTTTGTGCGACGATTGCATACTCTGCGCCAAGTAATATAGAAAACGTATTGCTGTCCGCGTTGTTCTTTACATCGCCAACATCACTACGATATGGTGTCTCACTGATGATAGCTCGTACTTCTTGCAGCCACAACGAATCAGTTCGCTTGGTTAGCAGTGCACAGCTTGCCTGCAATTGCTGTTTCAGCGTGTAGGTAACAATTAGGCATCGCATCCAACGACCAGAGTACAATCCAAACGTTGTTTTAATCATCTCGGGTATTTTTGCTTCACCACTGAGTATCATCTTGTCATAGCTTAGTAATTCAACTGGCTTCCCGCTCGGTATAAAATTTTCAGCAGAGCACGTGAGCAGAAGAAGTATGTAGTACATCTGTGCCCGAACGGAAACCGATGAATGATATACCGACGCCATCAGCAGTTCCATCATATCATTATCGCGTTGAATGGCTGAGCGCAACAGCCAGCTGCGAAGCAGTAGAGTCCTAAGCACGATGAGGGCTTGTTGAACCATAGACGAGTCATGTCGATTTTCTTCTGTTTGAAGAAAAGAACGAAGTAGATCAATCAGGCCCGACAGTTTGTCCATCTCTTCAAGTAACGTAAATAGCTCCACCGACGTGTGCTCAATAAACATGACCAGCTCTTTAAGTGCCGCCTCTCTCATGCTCTCAAAGGCTAAACACGTTCCGGAAATCACTTTACACAAATGATCCAGCTTGCTCAGTTGTGACGATAGCTCGTTTTCGCTAGGTTGACGGCAACCTACGTGAACAGCAGGCAAGGGGGTCTCCATAAGTGCTGCTTCGAAGTTTAGATTTTTGCCATCACATACGATTGTGCCTCCAAACGGGTCTTCACGAACTGATTCATCCTTTGAGATTTTTTCAGCATACGATGAAGTCGTTTGAGCCAACAACCGTATAACTCTAGAGGAAGCCGCTTTCCGAATGCATGGTAACTGATGAAGCAAACAGCGGCAAGTTAACACTTTCCTGGCGTGATCAGATACTATAGTTTCCAGCCGATTCAACACTTCAGCAAGTTGCGGTTGTGTCGAACGTTGCTCTTGACAAGACCCTTCCGACGGCTCAATATATGCAAAGTGCTGAAGCAAAGGAACCACGGGCAGAAGCAATACTAACTTGTCGTTAGGAAAGTTTGCTAACTGACTTGAAGTTATTCGTAAAATTTTCCAAAACACTGCGCTATTCGTCTTGTCGCCACTATCACCATCATGTCTTGCAAGGGCTAATAGCAACAGCGCAACAAATTTCGGTTCACATATCACCTCTGTCATAAATTGGTGTCGACAACCAGCTGATACACGATCAACTCCGTTATTTAATTCCTCAACAAGATCCACAAATCCTCGAAAAAAACGAACAACCATTGGGTCGTGTAATGCTGGTTTCTCCATCTCACCCAATTCACTTAACATATCATATAGAATCAAGTGAATAGTTCCGACATCACTTTCGACAATTTTCCCTGACTTATCCTTAGCACCTTCAGTCAACACTGACCAAATTGTTTGAAGCACAGCGTCCAGGATGATTTCAGTGTCCGTACTACTAAAGACGCATCTAGCCTGAATTGTTTTCCTCGCAACTTCCAAGGTCACAGCGCTTGGCTTCTTCCAAGGATCAAAATTTGCTAAGTGCTCATGATGAAGCTTCGAAAACTCCACAAAATGAAGGATTGACTTTGCGTCCTGTAGAGACGACTGCTTCAGGTTGATAAAGGCTGGGATCGTGCTGTCAACTTCAGCCAGAAATTGGATTACTGATTCATCCTTCCACTCTTTAGAAGACACTTCAGAAAAGACTGGACTAGCGATCCATAACTTCAGAGCATCCCACAACAGCCGTGGAATGGTTATAGTGCCACTACCGTCGGTCTTCCCGCTACTTTTATCGCAATCAGCTTTGCTTGCGTGTTTTTCGACGCAATACTGAGAGGACGGATACAACCGAAGCAATTTTAGGACAAGCTCCACTAGTTTCCATGTCATTGAGTACGTGAGTTCAAGCTCGTCGTCCATTATATTGCTACCTGCTTGTTCCGGTGGTACTGGTCGGCAGATGCCACTGAGAATACCAAAAATGCGCTCAAGACGCAATTTATTCAGCTTCTGTCCGTTCGATTCTGCAAGACCCAGATGGCTTTTCTCCGGTAAATCTGGTAGTGCCGCAATGAGAAGGTTCAAAAAGTGAAGTCGTGGGTGTCTTGCTGAGCGTAGCAAAGGTAACACGCTAATGAATATTCTATAAACTGCCCCACTTAATGAGTATTGCTCAAATTGAGCGCCACTTTCACCACCCCATTGTCTACTCACGTCCACTCCAATTTCCACTCGTGCACGCGGATACAGCACTCGTCGCGAATCATACGAATCATACGAATCAAACAACTCCACATAGACATGTGGTGCATACACCACGTATGTCGGATCAAGACATGGCTTTCGTGCAAGTTGCAGCGCATACAAAAACGATTCAATTGCTTTGAGACTTGCCATAACTACAGCGCCCGTTAAATTCCCTCGTTTGCTCGAAAAAGTCGAGTTCAACATCTCATCAAAGTAGTTCACACCCATCGACACTTCCATCGCTTTTTCCACCACAGTATCGCCATCTTCACCTCGTTCACACGACACCGTTTGATTGTCTGGCAATATCGGCTGTTGCACAAGATGCAACAAGTGCTGCAACACAACTGGTCTCTGTAGAAAGACTTCAGCGGGAAAGTTCCTCAATAACTCGTTCCGAAATGTTGCACATGCCGTCACAATATCTTGTATCTCCGTCTTTAATTGAAGTTTCACCTCAAACTCAAACAAATGCTGTTCATCCACTGACGTCAGCGTCACCTGTGCAAACCTCCAGCCTTGAGCTTCCAATTCATCGACTTTAAGAGCTTTTTGTCTTTCACATGACACTCGATGAGCCCTGACTTTCTCTTCTGCAACAGCATTTTTCTTCTCTTTTTCCTCTAATTGATTGACTCGAACCCGCTGTTTTGCCTCGACCGACACCAACTTGGTGACGTAAATTTGCTTCAATAACTGCTCATAAATAGCAGTACAAAAGGACGTAATTAGCAGTTTTTTTCTACTAAGTTTTAAGCCTTCTTTTAACCTTCTCGTACGTCGCCTGTAGCTCAGGATTCTTGTTGGCTCCTCGTTGGAGCTTCTCAGCCGCTCCATAGTCTTGTAAACTGGTCACGAGTATATCTGATTGGCTCTGTACTAGCAGCTGCAGCACGTGCAGCGTCTCAAGCTCAAGCGGTGGCTCTAGACACGCGAGAAGACTCGGAACGAGCGACGTCTGCAGCGGTTCGAGGTCCTGCCATTGAACCAGATGCTCCCGAAGCTTGAACAAGAGACTATGCAATGCTCGAGACCGGATCTTGATGAGAGGGTGTCGTAGCTTCAGTACAAGTGCATCGAGTCGCATCGTGACGTCGTTGTTCATGATTGGCGGTAATAATTAAATGATGTTAGAAGATGAATTAGCTAAAATGGGAGGTGTTTTGAGTCCGTTTTACTTTGTAATGGGTCACAATTAGGTTTTCGATGTTCCCTATAATAATAACTAATCCACTTCGGTGTCCTTGTAAAGAGACTTACTGGACAAACTGAGTCATACTGTTAACAGAAGTAGAATACACTCAAACAGATCGCTTCCCTATTCCAATTGGATCAACCTCTTATACATATATCTCTAAGTTCGGTTTTTAGTGGCCACAAAAAAACCCAACTGGTCTTTTTTCTATAACCCAGTTCCGTATCACATCGCAGTCTTTGAGATTCAGCTCGCAGTGTTACAGAATATACGAAAAAAAAAACCGTCTGGTACATTTTCTCGACGTCTCTCTCGTTCCCGTTACCCGACGTCCTGTATGACTGATAGGGGCAATTGCCCCCCATTTCAGTGCTCTACCTTCAATACTCCTGACCATTCCATCATCCAAAACAACACGAGGATCTCCATCATGACTGACCGTCGATCGGACGAACCCGTTGCTCGAAATCCGCGGATTCGCGTCACACGCGCATTTTCACAGATTCAAGAGCCATCGACAATGCAACAGGTCCAGGAAATACTAGTGGGGTCTCCACCTACCAAGACAATCGACGTACGGAAACTCGTGTCACCTACACGTCCACATGTCGCGACGGACGTGACACCATTGGTCGTGCCGCCGACGTCGCCTGCGTCACTGATGCGACCGATGTCGTATTCAGCACCGACACCACGAACGATATGTAAACCGTTCATTGAAAGCAGTGATAACAGCACTGTCACTGGCAATCCAGTGCGTTGTGGACCATCGGGTCTGCCTCCACGTGTTACCAGTGTCGGACGAGATGACGTGTCGGAAAAACGACGCAACGTCAGCATTGGACTGACAGATGAAGCAACAGCACTTCGATGTACTCTTAGTCTTAATCATAGGGAAACAGTAGCGGAACCTCGACGCAATTCCAGTGAATGGGCAGATACAGCGGCGCGATTGAGTCGACGAGTGCAGGAACTTGAGCTGGAGAATTTTCGGCTGAAAAACGGTCAAGAAAAATCTCCGACATCGTTTGCACTTGAAGAAATGCGTGCGGAACGATTAACGAGGTCGGAGATGGGAAATGCATTCTCAGACGTCAAGCAGCAGCAAAGAGGAAGGTTAAATAAGTCGCAGAGTTGTGCAAATGGCTTTGAGGTTACTGGACTGACAGTGGCTGAAGCTGCGGCAGCATCCCGCCGCACACGCACGAGACGCTTGGCATCAGCTGCTAATGCTACTGAAGCCGCGGTCAAACTGCGATCGGGGTACTGGAATGGAACAAATAATGCCAAGAGTAGCTTTAGCTGCAACAATTTGTCAGACCTGGAGCAGCCTGAGTTTGTGCTTGAGAAATCACGCACGTCTTACCCTCTCGCCGTTCCGGCATCCACTAATGCTAACGGTGGTAACGCAACTGCCGCGGCAGTGTCGGCCACAGTAAGTGCGCATGAGGCCTCTTGCAAGAGCGAATCGCTTCAGGGATCGAGCTCGGAAACTGAAGAAGACGTCGTTAGTGTGCGTAAACAGCATTTTTCACTTCAGAAGTCACGGAACACTCCAACTGTCATGGCCCAGCAAAACACATTGTCTGCTGATTTGAGGTTGGATAAAAGCTTAAACGAGACTGAAAATCGTATAACATCACCTCGTTCGTACTTTGAGGCTGGACTACGGACAGGTAGCTTTTCATTGGGCTCCAAAGCCTCGACTGCTTTGAAACCAGGAAAGCGAACGAATGCAGGAGACGTACGCATGTGGGTGGGCACGTGGAATATGGGCGCAGCAGACCCGTTTGAAGATGGAAAAGGCATCATCGATGAGCAGCGCTCGGCGACAATGCTGCAGAACTTTCTGCCGCATGGCTATCAGCTGTATGTGCTTGGAGTACAGGAGGGCGTGTCGGAGAATGTTTATCACGCCGTGGAGGCGTATTTGAACCGCAATGGGCAGGGAACCCGCTACTATCGCATGGAGCTCAAGAATGGAAATTTTATGGTGAATCACAAGAACCAGCCTCCTGATGCAATTATTGATGCTGTACACGGCCGTGGCGACGGAGCCTTCGTCGGTACCAAATTTACGGGCATGGCTGTGTTTTATTGCGTTAACATTGAGGACAAGATCAAGCTAATTCGAGCAGGTGCACACAAGTTTAAACTTACAAGTGGGTCAAAGGGTGGTGTGGCTGTGGCCCTTATGATCAACCACACGACCATTGTGTTCGTGAACTGCCATTTGGACGCGCGAAACGATACGTACCGTCGCGAACAGATTAGGAATTTGAACGCCAGTCTTGGTCGAATAATGGGTCATTATAGCTTTGACCTTACAGAGCAATTTCATCACGTCGTGTGGATGGGAGATTTGAACTACCGAATTGTGTTTCTGGACCCGCAGATGGTACTCCACATGCTCGAGGAAGGGCGAAACCTTGAGTTACACGACAAGTTTGACGGTCTTCTGAATGATCGCCGCAACGGTGGAGTCTTCGAAGGCTTCACGGAGCCGCACAAGTTTCCAGACTTTTACCCGACGTACAAGAAGTTCCCGAAGCGTGGATACGTGAATGAGAAGCTGCCGTTGTGGCCATCGCTCGTTTGGCGTGTGCTTTACAAAGAACCATTTTATAAGGGCGGCAAGGTGAAAAAGCGTGTGCCTGGATGGTGTGATCGTATCTTGATTCACTCACTTCTCGTTGGCGATTCAAAACTGATCCCGGAAAAGGTGCAGGATCCGACTTCTCTTGAGGGTAGTCCACGATATATTGACAACTACCGCTCTGTGAACCATGGCGATGGAATGGACGTCAGTGACCACAGTCCTGTCTACGGCACCTTTGTGCTAGGTTTCCCACACCATGGCCGTGACGTATTTACGTCGGAATCTTCTCGAAAGCTACAGCAGCGCAGCTCGCGATCCCTTTCCACGATTTGCAATACTGCCGGAGACAAATATTCGAACTCGGTGAGTGGCAGCTATTTCGACCAGGCTCGCGTGGTTCGACAGATGAAAGCACAGAAGCGTCTTGTGTCAACCGTTTTGCGGGTGTTCAACATGGAGCTCAGCTGGAATGACAACGTGGTGGTGCCCAAAAAGACTCGAATAGTTGCGCCATTAGTCGGGGAGGATGCAAAGCAGTGTGATGTCATCGGTGAGCGATGCCAAGGATCGAATGGTCTTAATCTGTCGCTCAACGCCGTGATTCAACACACTCGACCGCTTGAGCAGTTGCATATGCTTGTATGGGTGAGAAACGAATCAATTAACGGCCACTGCACTCTCTCGCTGAAACGTATCGCGTGTCAGGAAGAGGGAGGTGAGGTCAGGTTCCGCGTACCGCTTTACAACGATTCCATGCGAGTACACCTTGACGGACATCCTTTGCTCGTGGTTTTCTCAGTGCGAAGCAAAACATTTGCCAAATGAGAGTACATATGTCATGGTGCGTCCAATGTTGATCCTCTTTGTCGTAAAATGAAAGAGAGAGACGATAAGTTCTGAACATGTTTTACTGGGTTAAGAGTAACTATTCTGGCTCATCCCATTGCTATTGCGATCGATCAGTTACTAGTACTCATACTCTCGACCACCGAAGTAGATAGATCAGCTACGTGCGGCGAAATGGGTACATTTATTGTATGGCTGGAAACCTACTAGTCGACAATTCCTTGGTCATGAAGCGCGTGCCAATCCGTTTGGGTTCATTACGGACAATTGTGAAGCCTTTGAGCAATGTTTCATCTCCTTTTTTACTCTCGGAAGGTTTATCAATAACTAATACATCACTGGTTCGAGTATGTCGCGTCTGCACGACGTGTAAGGCGAGGTATACGTGTCCCCGTTGCAACATTCCTTACTGTAGCGTGGACTGTTATCGGTCTCATGGTGAGAACTGCACCGAAAAGTTTTTTGAAAGTCATGTACGCAGTGAAATGAAGTTGGCTTCAATTACAAGAGGAGACGATGAAAATAAGCAGAAGAAAAACATTCAGGATCTCATGGAACGTGTTCAACAGTTTCAGGAAGAGCAGCAGCGGTTGATAGATGAAGATAGTAATGAAGAAGCACTGATGGAGAGAATGCAAGAACTGGCACTTTTAGATCAAGCTGGAAAATTGACATTGGAAAGCTTAACTGCAGAAGAAAGGAAGAGATTCTTAAGAGAAGTAGCAGATGGACGACTTGGAAAACTTGTGGGGCTCTGGACACCGTGGTGGTTTATGTCGGAGCGCAAATACTGCAGCGAGACCACGGCTCGACGACGACAGTTCATATTGGAGGAGATTGAGGACGATGGGTACGAGAACGAGGAGTTGATAATGGTGGAGCCTGCGGTTTTATATCCGGTTGGGCTGTTTACGAACAGTGAAGCGCAGAACATGCCTGATGGCATCATCGCTTTGCTGCCAGGTGGAAGATTACCGTCGCCGTGCCTGCGTTTCAATTTAATCGAAGTTCTATTTGCTTACACGCTCGTGCTTCGCGCTTTTAATGGCGACTATGGACAAGATGTGGCAGAAGCGGCCCTGATGTTACTAGATTTGTGCCAAGTCCTTAGTCTGGATGCACGATACGGGTCTGTCGAACACGTCTGCGTGACTTGTTTGGAAAAGCGGTCGAGTGACGGACCAGCCGCAAATGCACTGGCTATCCAGGACACACAGCAGCTTTTACGTTCTGATGTATTTCTACTTGATGCTCTCAGTGACACGCATGCTCTTTTGAAGAAATATGCTCAAGAGCTCGCGCGTAGCGGTGAAACCGACAAACAAGCCAGGAAGGAGAAGAAGGCAGCAATGAAAAAGCTTACAGTAGTGCAGAAAAAGCTCGAGTTTTATAAAACCTGGGCATACCGTACGCCGATCGATGAGTTCCGAGCGCTCGTGGCGGAGATCGAAGCGTACGTAAACGACAAGAAACTGCTCGGTGCAAAAGGTTAGCACTTTCAACTTCTGTATTTGGCTTCATCTTCTTGTGTTTATTTGCGTTCTGCCCCATACACTGTAAGTACAGTAAAAAAGCTGCCACGAGCTTTGTTTCTTCGTTCCATTCACTACATCATTCCGCATTGGTTGCAGCAGTAGCCCGTTGGCCACTGCAATAGTACTATTTCCTGTCATTCTGCTGCCGTCAAGCGCCACGTCACACCTCAGCTCTCCGTGATGTCTGAGTAAGTATTGCGCTGAATCTGAGAGCAACGGCTTATCCCGTTAGGCTGAGACGGCGGTAGAAGAAGACATTGTTTGCAGTTCTTTAAATGCCGTAGCCCACTTGTTAAATTCTCGTGTCGACGTCGCCGTGAGGATAAGCTTTTTGCCAGCTTGGCTAAACTCAGGTGTAGTGATGATGAAGGTCAGACTGCGTGGGTCCGTCATATCAATTTTAGCATCGGCAAGCGAAATTGTGCTGCTCTTGGCACCCACCTGATGGATCATGCTCTCTTTCTTGTAGCCCGTGAGATGATTGCCACGCAGCACAAAATACCGCTTCTTAGAGCCAAGGAAACGCCTACTGCTAGCCACTTTGAGGATGCCTTGCGTGCACGTGAACGGCAGAATAGCGCGCACCCAAATGACAGGCCCAATGAAGTTATCAATCAGCACGTAGTCCATCTTGCTCGTAGAGACTGTGAGCTCTTGGTACTTGGAGCGCGAACTCACGGTCACGATCTGGGAGCACATGATCTCATCCTCTAATAAGTTAGTATCCTTATTGACAAAGAGAAGACGTTCGTGGTCTGTGAGTAGCAAATGAAAGCGCTTCTTGCGCTTAAGCGATACGGGTCCCGCCAGCAAAATACTCTCTCGTGTCTTCAATAGACTATCCCAAAGCCGCATGAACGGCGACCGCACAATCGCCACAATCGCGTTGCTGTTCTTTCGCTTCACTGCACTGCATACGTCTGGTCGCATGGCGAGCACCATATCCTTGAGCATATCCACTTCCTTCTGGTTCAACACGCTATCGTTGCCCAAACCTTCACAAAATTCGAGCATTTCTTCCACCAACATATTCTCGCCTTCCATTCCACTCAACGCAGAGCATCCCGAACCCCGACGTAATCCGAAACCGTCCATGTTACTCGGGCGCGGTGACGGCGCCACCGTTGACGCAAACGAAAAACGGCTGCTCATGACACCAGTTGATCTGCCAGGTGTCGGAGGCATCACCTTGGAGCGTGCAAAAACCACTACCATCGGACGTGTACCACGACTGAGCAAACTGATGGCGCGATTGTATTCAAGTCCATTAATGATCTCTCCATCCACAGCATGGATAATATCAAAGATACGCACTCCATGAGCTTCTGCATAGCCTACAATATTTGGATGAGCCATAGGCAAGTCTTTCACAATAACATTCACATCATCTGTAGTTATCGTCATATTAAGACTAGGACCTCGAAACTCCACAGCAAAGAGTCCTTCCCGTCGAAATGGACGAAAAAATTGAATGCTCAAAGGCCGTGTTTGCGTCTGAAGCATCTGCACGACATTATCGTAGCTACGACCGACGGTTCTAGCACCATTGACCTTGTAAATGACATCGTTCGGCTGAATGAGGTTTGAGGCCTCTGCTTCACTTAACGATCCATCAGGTTTTCGCTTAAAATGATTAACCGTGACACTTTCATTGTGTTCTCGGATAGTCATTCCAAGAGACCGGTCTTGAAACACCACTTCAAATACTTCTGTCGTTTTCATTGGGGCCAATGCTTCCGTCTTAGGAGAAAGACAGAGACATAACGGGTCTTTCATGTTTGATAAAACATCTTTTGTAATGTGTACAAGACTGGAATTCGCGGTATCAATCAGATCCACCCACGCTTCATCCGAGACACCAAATTGAGCACGAAGTTGCGATTCCACAAGACTTTCAAACACTTGATCCGGTACATTTGGATCCCATGAGATAGAACGTACAGAGCCATCATCAAGATCAATTACACGAATACTACATGAAGTTGACGACGGGTCCAAGAGTTCCATACGTGCTACTAAATGTATGAAATGAGAACGAGTAGTGAGTGACCTGTACGGAGCGAAAGAGAGTGTGGGTCGATCGATCGGTGGGTGGGTGGGTGGGTGATGTGAGAATTTTGGTTTGTTTGGCTGTTTGAAAACAGCTGCGGCGTCTGCTAAGGTTATTTTTCAAAAAGCCTGTCACTGACACATTTTGGCGGTTTTATCTACAGAAGATCCTTTCAGGAAGAATACCATAGAGATATTCTTGATTGGAATATGACATGAAGGGCGGTATTTTATGTGAAGAACCTGGCTGTGAATAATAAAACAACGAGATTTGCCAAAGAAACGTGCGAATACAGTACTGAATTTTTCAGTCTTCTTGGTTTGGATTGGTTCAAATTGGTTCACAAAATCCAAGCAAAAAAGTGCAAGACGTTGCGTACGTCACTCGATCGGTCGTAGTGCCGATAAAATCTCTGGATAATCCTGCTCCTCGCCGCCGGATTTTTATTTGCGTAATGGGAAAATAACATTGTGTTGACACACTCAGATTCATGAAGTCCATTGGAGCAAATCTCCGTTTGACCACATGTTGTTGCTAATGCTGTTTCTTTAGATGTATAGCATCGCCATTATATTGGCACAGTATAATTGTCTTATCTGAGCACCACTAAAGTACTCACGATTACATGCTACGTAACGACACACGAGAGGCTGAATCTTTGCCACGATATTCTTGTCTCGGCATCACGACGATCTCGACGAAGGGTCACTCACCAAAGGGTAGACAGACAGTCACAAACAAGCACTTAACCTGATTGTTGCATATTACTGTCTGATACATCACACTATCTTCTATGCATCGTGGAGGCGCTGTCAACGTCTGGCCCTTTCTACAATTCACGCAAAAACGCCATTACTTAAGCACTTTGCAACACCGCCAACGCCATCGAGTGACTTCAGTTACTTAGGCGATTATGATCACAGTGAATGACTGCTAGTTGTGAGCTCAATCTTGGCATGTTATCGATACATGGCACTTATACATGACATGTATTTTATATACGCGGTCAGCTGCTTCAGTTTCGGTCATTACCTACGTTTGTACTCGAGAGAAGTCCATGTAAATAGAGGAAGTCGTCTTCTATAATCCGTCGTGTGAAGTGTCACTAAGGTTTGCTGACATAACCACTTGTCCGTTTCTGTACATTTGAACACAACATAACGCCTTACTTCCCATCCATTCGCCAATTTTCCGTGCACCATAATGAAACGAGGTCGCGTAGACGTTGGTGTATCTAAGGATCAATACGAAGCGTCTCTCGTCGTTGTTGATAGCCCCAATGGCGACATTACATCGTTCCCTCGTGCATCAACTCAAGTGTTAAAGGCTCGTAAGATTGTGAAGGCTACATCGACTACCCGTGCACAAGAAGCGACTCGTCAGCTCACGGCTTTGAATCGCGCTTTTGTGGCGAATCTTAAGACGCAATGGGCGCACAATGCGACCAACAGCTGGGAAATAAATATGAAGGAGTATATAGCCTATGCACGTGTGATTGACGCGAGTTTTGGCGGTCATACAGGCCAAGTATTGACGTTTGGGAGTGGTGATTGTGGTCAATTGGGTCACGGTGTTGACGAGGAAGATCTCATGGTTTTATACCCACGGGTTGTCTCTTCGTTATCGAATCTCAAGATTGTCCGTGTGACTTGTGGTGGTCTTCATTCTGCTGCTGTTACGGCAGCTGGAGAGGTCTATACATGGGGTTGCAATGACGATGGAGCTATCGGTCGCGACGGAGACGAAAACGTCCCGAATAAAGTGGACGGTTTTGGACCACAAGAAGCCATGGCAGTGCAAATTGTTGGTGGTGATTGTCATACCACTGTCGTGACACTGGCTGGAAAAGTGTACACGTGGGGCTGCTACCGTGACAAGGAAGGCAAACAGTGGTGTGATGCTCCATCGGCCAAGGCTGCATTCAAGCAGAAACAACTCCGGCCGTTCTTGATTAAGGCGTTGGAAAATGTAGCTGATGTACGTTGCGGTAGTACGTTCAATCTTGTGCGAACGAATGATGGGCGTGTGTACTCGTGGGGACTGGGAGAAATGGGCCAACTTGGACGTAAGGTAGACGCAGAGACGAAGGACGCAAAGGGAGACTATAAGGTTGATATGGTGTACTCGGAACACCTGCAACCGAAACTTGTGATGCTAGGAAAGGACCCGCTTCCGGCTACCAAGTCCATCGGCTGTGGCTCGTACCACAGTCTGTTTGCTTTGAGCATGAATGGATACTTGTACACATGCGGACTCAACAATTACGGCCAGCTGGGAATTGGTAGCACTGAAAACTGCACCGAGCTAGAACTAGTAGAGGATCTTAGTTCCGAGACTGTCGCGTTTGTGGACGGAGGAGCCCATCACTCGGTCATTCTCACTATTGACGGTGACGTCTATACATTTGGTCGCGCAGACTCAGGCCAGCTTGGTACGCTTGAAACTTGTGCCACCGGCGAGTTTAAGGATCGGCCACAAAAAGTTACGATTCCTATCCCCAAGAATGGCGGCTCAAGTACCGTTCGCATGATTGCTACAGGCTCTAACCACGCACTGGCGCTAACGGAAAGCAATGCGATTTTTTCTTGGGGCTACGGTGATATGTTGGCACTAGGCAATGGAGAAGAGCACGACGAAAACAAGCCGCATCAGCTGGACTGGTCGATGGCCAAGTCTGACAAGGACAAGACATTTGGCGAGGCAAAGATTTATCAGATCGAAGCTGGTGGTCAGCATAGTGCCGTGCTGGCGAGATCTACTAGAGACAAGTAGTGCAATATCTAGTCTCGCGTGTTGTTCCTACATACCCAGGTCTCGCGCCTCGGTGGAGACTTTTTCGTCCCGACGTAATGCACGCGACTAATCTAGACAAGGTGGTGGAAACAAATATATTTGACGTTTGGAAGACTCAAGTCCTTAGCTTCTTTCGTCTAACTTCTTAATACGTCGGCCACCGTAATGCGCTGCGAGCGTTTCTCACGGAAGCACAAGTCCCACGGACAGAATGCCCATCGTCAAAAGCACGACTACCTGCTGCAGCGTTCCAAATTGAACTGCAGTCGCCAGGTTCGTGCGTTCGCGTTTCTTGTAAAACGAGTCCGAGCTTCCAGACGATTTCTCAAGCGATTTACGCCGCTTGATCGGAGACGGAGCCGGCGTGGTCGTGTCGCACGATGACACGAACGTATCGAGACTCATTTGCAAGGTCATGTTCTTCTCGTTAACGGCAGACTCACAAACAGGAATGTCCAAGTCATCGACGGAACCGATCATCTCCTGGCAGGGCTTTGACTTGCACAAAGCTGATTGTTGCGTTTTCGAGAGACTCGAGCGCGGCGGAAGTTGAAAATTCAGCTTGCTGTCTTTGAGGCATTTGTTCACTTGGTCAGACACCACATTGAAGACACTCAGTTCCTTCGTGGTACAAGGTTTAGAATTGATAACGTCGATACCGCTTCCGATAAGCGCCAACAGCAACAGCGCCGTAAGTCGTTCCATCTTGTCGTACAACCTTCGAGGTGTTGGAGGGTCAGTGCTTCTATCGCTTGTGGACGATTGAAAAGTGAGATACCATTTGTATGGAACGACCATGCTCATGTATGTCTTGATCCATCCATCTCCACAAAAAGTCAATGCCGACGAGCGCTCGGGATCGCACAGAAATCCCCAAAGCCTTTCAAAGAATGCGGAAACCGTTCCCCTCTCTTGTAACTTTCGACACGTACAAGTCTTCAGTACTTCCAAGTGACGGTCTCTGTCGCTTCCTGCCATTCTTAATATTTTCTTCTTGAGCTGGGGCTACGGAAGCCGCTCCCATCAGCTGAGGAGACGATTCACGGAAAATAGCTATCACTTGCACCTCATGGCACTGGATCCCTTGCCCAGGGTGGCTAAGATATGCACCCTGGGAAAAGGAGGAGCTGGTGCAGCTCCTCCTTCTCATGCTGCACGAGCACATTGTGCCTTGATTGAGGCTCCAACATAAGGCACGGATCCTCCATCGTCGTGTGAGCGATGCAAGACAATCGTTGGATTGCTCCAATTTCTGGATCTATCACTTCATCCCATCAAGCTGCGTCGCGATCATGTGCTCACGGCCGTAGGCAGTCTTCATGCTCGTCTTTCACTGTATCACACTCACTTTGATTTCGGTCAAGTTGTGACGTGGTCGACTCGAGGCTGCTGTGTATCGGTCCACCGTGATTTTAAGGATTTTTCGTACTCACAGCTGGACCTGACGTACTCATCGTAAGTGCATTGCAACTGCGTAAGCTACAAGCCAGAAGTAGCGCCACAGCCTCGACATTCTTGTTGAGTTCAAGTGGCTTCTCAGATCGGCGTCGTCTGCGCGAATCCTCCTGGTGCTGCCTCAACGATTCATATCGGACGTCACTTCTTGGGCATTCATTGTCGCTGTCGTCGTCATGACGAAATGAAGAGACCACTGCATTATTGATCGAGATGGTGTACGCATAATTGCTCCCGCGTTGATTCGTCAACTCGTCAACCAATATTATTTGTCTCGACCCAATACCTTCGATAAGAACGTTAGGGTGCATATTGGTGACGCCATCGTCACATGATGTATTAACAGGGTCGTCTATTCGATTGTTGGCGCGGCTACTCTAATGCTGCACGGCCATGGCACTGCAACGTATATGTTGCAGCCCTTTTCACTGGCAGCATTCAGCACCGCCGGCTTCTTTCTAGACTGTATACTTCGCGTCGAACCAACGAAAAATTCGGTGTGTCATCTCTACACCAAGAAAAAGCGATCCGTTGGCCGGGAACGCACGCAATACAGCGGCTGACCAGCCGCGGTAGAATCCGTGGATACCAAACTCTGAGTAGACTGCACGGAAGGCGCCCCGCAGAGAGAGCGGTTCCGTCGAGCTAGCCGTCTGCATTCGTGACTTGAGCACGTCCGCGGGAAACATGATGCCCCAACTGGAAGCGCCGGCAAGGCCACCGCTAGCAAGAATCGCAAGTGGGTTCAGGTCATTCTTGGATTCCTTACCCAGCACTTTGGCGACTGTAGACGTAAATGCTTGATACGATCCAAAGAAGAAGAAGCTGAAAGGTACGTCACGGAGTAAGAGTGCTGAGTACCCTCGAAACAGTCCCTTGAGACCTTCTTCCTTGCCCACCTTTACCAAACAGTCCCAAGGTCCATAGTAACCTAAATAAGTAGCAACAATTACACACAAGTCAATCATTTCGTCCAACAGAACTCTTCAACTAGATTTGCAGCCAGAAAGAAAAAACGTACATCCTTCACCTAAATGACCACGTTGAAACTGCAGCTTACACTTGATGTTTTCCGGTATTGTAATTGCCTGTTACAATTGACAGCGACTTAGCAATTGCAACAAGAAGCATCATAATCTCTGTATCAATACCGTCGCGGAGAAACAGCCAGCGAAGGCTCCCATACATCCTTCATGTAATATCGAAAACTGATACTCTTTCTCATGCTCTATGCACTGCTTGGTATACATTGATAATACAGCACGGTTGGCAAAACCATTGGCACTAAAAAGTACCGAGTTTTCAATAACAGAACTAGAAAGCGCTGGGATTGCACCTTTCCAGAGAGCGACGACGCCTTCTTCAGTGGTAATGCGACGGAAGGCGTCAGTTACGCCCTTGTACGCGTTTCTGCTGCTTTGCGTCTGTAGTCGCACCTTTATTACCTCAAAAGGAAGCCCTGTATACACACAACAACAGGCGCCCATGACGCCCGAGAAGGTCTCACGAAGATCCAGCATCGTTTCGTACGTCATCTCTCTCTTTTTGGTAATTTGGGTACCTCTGACGATGTCGACGTCATGTCCTTTTGGTAATTTTGGGTCCCTGTGACGGCGTCGACGTCACCTCATTTGTTGATTGGTCAGTAATTTCGAACACGCGAAAATGCTGCTGCTGCTGCTGCTTCGACCGACTGCGTCGTTGCTTGAGCCTGTGAATGGCGCTCGCTTATTACGTACTGCCCGTGGTGGACGGCAGCGTCATAAAGATCACATGGCTCGGATTGCTAAGATTGAAGCTCAGGCACAAGAGCGTGAGCGCATTCGACTGGAGCAGCGTCAACGTGTTTTAGAAATGCGTAACCAACCACCAGCTATTCCAGCCTTTATTCGTATCCGTAACTTAGCTAAAGCTCTGCGTCAACCATTAGATAAAGTGCTGAAGCATACAGTGACCAAGTCAAACCGTCGATTCTACCTCAAGACGAAGAATCACCAACCGGCCGAGTTTAAAGGTGTGAAGCAGATTGTTCTGCCCTTTCGAGTGGCTCAGGAGGTAGCCGAGCACTTTGGGATTCAAATAGCATATGATGATTTGGAGCCAGAGCTGTCGGAACCGTCAGTGGTGTCTGACGAGGAGATATTGGGTCTTCGACAGCCGGTTATTGCTGTCATGGGCCATGTTGACCATGGCAAGACGACGCTGATAGATACCTTAAGGAAGCAAACAGAGGCGAGCTTAAAGCAGATTGCGCCTTTGGAAAAGCATGGCATGACGCAGAAGATCAATGTTTGCGAAGCGATACTAATGAAGGACGTAAAAGCGACGTTCTTGGATACGCCTGGACATTTTCACTTTTTCCGGATGCGAACGAGTGCAGCACAAGTGGCAGATGCAGTGCTGCTAATTGTTGCAGCGGATGAAGGTGTACTGCTACAGACGGAAGAGTCAATTGGTGCCATCGAGGAAGCTGGACTGCCGGCTGTGATTTGTATCAACAAGGTGGACTTGTTTGGAGAAGATAGCAAAGGACAGGTTGACAGCATTGTGAATGAACTGCGCTCGTATGTCGCTTTGCAGAACAGCCCCGTGCTGTCCATTTCGGGGAAGACGGGAGCTGGACTGGATGACTTGCGACATACTGTGTGGAAGCTGGTGAGTGGATTGGCAAGTGATCAAAGGCTAGGTGCGCTGGTCGGACCTCAAACGCACGCTGAGGGACTTGTGCTAGAAAGTGTGGCAGTGAAGGGACGTGGAACAGTGCTACGTGTGTTGATCAAGAATGGTAAGCTGGCAGCCAAGCAGCATTTCATAGCTGGCATGATTCACGGCGTGGTTCGTAGCATGTCGGACGCTGAAGGACGCGATGTCAAGCGTGCGTTGCCTGGCACAGTCGTCGATATCACGTACTCGAACAAGTCAAAGAATGTAGATGCACCGAATGAACACGGTTTCTTTGTGCTTTCTGAAGCACGTGCAAAGCAGGTGCTTGAGCAGAGGTATTCTATGAGAAGTGATAGTACCATGTGAGATATCATACTAATTTTTACTAACGGATTGTTGTTATTGGTGGCCAGAGAACTCGCCTTGGAGTTTAATGACTGCCTTCTCCCCGCTGTTGATGGCGTACTTGCAGAGTCTGATGCTGAATACACATCTATGGATGCTGAAGAGGAAGGTCAAGACGTGACAAGCGTTGGAGACGTAGCCGAAGCAGATGATGTTATCAACGAAAACGATCTGATCGAAACGAAGTCGATCATTGTAAAAGCGGATGGCGCTGGGTCGCTTGCTAGTATCCAAGACACGGTGGATGAGATGTCTGGCATTTCGGTATGGTGTAGGTAAAGAACAGTGTTGGTGATGTGTTGTGTTTACCTTATTCCTGTGTGATATGCGTGCAGACTGTGCGACTAGGCATCGGCAACATTTCGGTCAAGGACATTGATGTAGCCGTCAACGGCAAGTGCCCTATATTCGGTTTCAACGTAAAGCTGCGTAAACGCGAGGCAAAGCTAGCAACAGAGAGAGGTGTACGAGTTATATTGCGCTCTACCGTGCATGAACTGATTGAAGAGGTCACTGCTTTTGAGCAGCTTGACGCCACAAGTGGATAATAACACTAGAGCTTTCTTTATAAAGTCGCACAAGAGGTGCGCAATGAGCGGTACCGTTCTTCTCCTTCCATTGCTCGCTGGTCGCACCGCGTTTTGTCCCAAAGCTGTTCGTTCGTGCCAGGGCTTCACCATTGCGTCTTGCCGCAATGGCTACTGCATCAAGTACCGTCCTTTTGAAGCATGGAGACGGTTTCAATGATTGAACTACGCCGTGATCAATACGCTCGTCCTTGTGAGCATTACATGTAAGAGGTGCTACGGAAACCGAAACGTTCGTTTGCCACACACTCCACTTGTTCACGCGCGCAGATTTTTGCTATCACTTGTGCGCAGAAGTGGACTTGCAAGTCATTCTTGAATTTGTACAGCAACTGCGACAGTGACTGCTTCACACATATTAGCAGCTACAGCCAGAGTTCCACTCAGTGAGCTAAGGCTTACTCATCGTCGGTGTTTGAGGTGTGCGTGTACGAAGACGTGGACTACTGCTCGGATTTCGTCGTGTATATAGCTGGTCGGTCAGCATAGTGCCGTGCTGGCGAGATCTACTAAAGACAAGTAGTGCAATATCTAGTCTCGCGTGTTGTTCCTACATATCCAGGTCTCGCACCTCGGTGGAGACTTTTTCGTCCCGACGTAATGCACGCGACTAATCTAGACAAGGTGGTGGAAACAAATATATTTGACGTTTGGAAGACTCAAGTCCTTAGCTTCTTTCGTCTAACTTCTTAATACGTCGGCCACCGTAATGCGCTGCGAGCGTTTCTCACTGAAGCACAAGTCCCACGGACAGAATGCCCATCGTCAAAAGCACGACTACCTGCTGCAGCGTTCCAAATTGGACTGCAGTCGCCAGGTTCGTGCGTTCGCGTTTCTTGTAAAACGAGTCCGAGCTTCCAGACGATTTCTCAAGCGATTTACGCCGCTTGATCGGAGACGGAGCCGGCGTGGTCGTGTCGCACGATGACACGAACGTATCGAGACTCGTTTGCAGGGTCATGTTCTTCTCGTTAAAGGCAGACTCACAAACAGGAATGTCCAAGTCATCGACGGAACCGATCATCTCCTGGCAGGGCTTTGACTTGCACAAAGCTGATTGTTGCGTTTTCGAGAGACTCGAGCGCGGCGGAAGTTGAAAATTCAGCTTGCTGTCTTTGAGGCATTTGTTCACTTGGTCAGACACCACATTGAAGACACTCAGTTCTTTCGTGGTACAAGGTTTAGCATTGATATCGTCGATACCGCTTCCGATAAGCGCCAACAGCAACAGCGCCGTAAGTCGTTCCATCTTGTCGTACAACCTTCGAGGTGTTGGAGGGTCAGTGCTTCTATCGCTTGTGTACGATTGAAAAGTGAGATACCATTTGTATGAAGACCATGCTCATGTATGTCTTGATCCATCCATCTCCACAAAAAGTCAATGCCGACGAGCGCTCGGGATCGCACAGAAATCCCCAAAGCCTTTCAAAGAATGCGGAAACCGTTCCCCTCTCTTGTAACTTTCGACACGTACAAGTCTCCAGTACTTCCAAGTGACGGTCTCTGTCGCTTCCTGCCATTCCTAGGATTTGCTTCTTGAGCTGGGGCTACGGAAGCCGCTCCCATCAGCTGAGGAGACGATTCACGGAAAATAGCTAGCACTTGCACCTCATGGCACTGGATCCCTTGCCCAGGGTGGCTAAGATATGCACCCTGGGAAAAGGAGGAGCTGGTGCAGCTCCTCCTTCTCATGCTGCACGAGCACATTGTGCCTTGATTGAGGCTCCAACATAAGGCACGGATCCTCCATCGTCGTGTGAGCGATGCAAGACAATCGTTGGCTTGCTCCAATTTCTGGATCTATCACTTCATCCCATCAAGCTGCGTCGCGATCATGTGCTCACGACCGTAGACAGTCTTCACGCTCGTCTGTCACCGTATCAGACTCACTTCGATCTCGTTCAAGTTGTGACGTGGTCGACTCGAGGCTGCTGTGTATCGATCCACCGTGATCTCAAGGTTTTTCTCGTACTGAGAGCTGGACCTGACGCACTCATCGTAAGTGCATTGCAACTGCGTAAGCTACAAGCCAGAAGTTGCGCCACAGCCTCGACATTCTTGTTGAGTTCAAGTGGCTTTTCAAGATCAGCGTAAAACGTCAGCACGAATCCTCCTGGTGCTGCCTCAACGATTCATGTCGAGCGTCGCATCTTGGGCATTCATTGTCGCTGTCGTCGTCATGACGAAATAAAGAGATCACTGCATTATTGATCGAGATGGTGTACGCTCAATCGCTCCCGCGTTGATTCGTCAACTCGTGAACAAGTGTTTTTGTCTCGACCCAATACCTTCGATAAGAACGTTAGGGTGCATATTGGTGACGCCATTGTCGCATGATGTATTAACACGGTCGTCTATTCGATTGTTGGCGCGGCTATTTTAATGCTGCACGGCCATTTTAATGCTGCACGGCCATTTAATGCTGCACAGCCATGGCAGTGATTTGTAATGAAGATCATGGTCCGGATCGCGGGATACCTTAGAAGGCCTGTACCCATTGTAGATCGAAGAAACACGACGATCGCGGTTGTTGGAAGAGATTGACGTGTCTAAAGTGTGTAAGAGTGGAGTGAAGTAGTGCACGTAGAGGTAGAAGTAAAAGTGAAATATATTAAGCATTAACTACTCTCCTTCGCTAGTGCTTTAATATGTACGAAGAGTCAACTACGACTATACCATGTCTAGTCTGTAATCTTCGTCTATCCCGCTTCGCCACATATGTTAAGATGTCACAACATTAGCCAATTCGGGTGCGGTCGCAACTTACCGGCACAGGGTATAACCCTTGCCTTCAACACCTTGCAATGTAGCGGAGCTGCACAGCTCTTTAGCCAGAGGAAGACTTTCGGCTGGAAGCCTCTTAGTTCGAGAGAACTAAATAGAGTTAAGGCTAAAAGCCACTTAGTTCTAAGGAACTAATTAAACGACTGAAAGTAACCCTGTTCTAAGGAACTAGGAGAGAGACTTTAGTCAGTC